CCAAGGTATTTTATGTTGTTTGTGGCAATTGTAAAGGGTGATGTTTCTCTGATTTCTCTTTCAGCCCTTTTATCATCTGTATATAGTAGGGTTACTGATTTTCTTGAGTTGATCTTGTAGCCTGCCACTTTGCTGAAGGTGTTAATCAGCTGTAAGAGTTCCCTGATAGAGTTCTTTGGGTCATTGATGTAAACTATCATATCGTCTGCAAACAGTGAAAGTTTGACCTCTTCCTTCCCAATTTGTATCCCCTTGATCCCCCTTTGTTGTCGTATGGCAATAGCTAGAACTTCAAGTACCATGTTGAAAAGGTATGGAGAGAGTGGACAGCCTTGTTTGTTCCTGATTTTAGAGGAATTGCGTTGAGTTTCTGTCCATTTAGTTTGATGTTGGCTGTTGGTTTACTGTATATAGCTTTTATTATGTTTAAGTATGTCCCTGTTATCCCAGATCTCATCAAGACCTTTATCATGAAGGGGTGTTGGATATTGTCAAAGGATTTTTCAGCATCTAGTGAGATGATCATGTGATTTTTGTTTTTCAGCTTGTTTATATGGTGGATTATGTTGATGGATTTTCATATGTTGAACATCCCTGCATCCCTGGGATGAAACCTACTTCATCATGGTGAATGATTGTTTTGATGTGTTCTTGGATCCGATTTGCCAGTATTTTATTGAGTATTTTTGCATCAATGTTCATGAGGGATATTGGTCTGAAGTTCTCTTTCTTAGTTGTATCTTTGTGTGGCTTGGGGATCAAGGTTATTGAAGCCTCATAGAAAGAGTTTGGCAAAGACCCTTCTGATTCTATTATGTGGAACACTTTGAGAAGAATTGGTATAAGCTGTTCTTTGAATTTCTGGTAGAATTCTGCACTGAGGCCATCTGGACCTGGACTTTTTTTGGTTGGGAGTCTTTTGATGACAGCTTCTATTTCCATAGGGGTTATAGGTCTATTTAAATTGCTTATCTGTTCTTGATTTAGTTTTGGCAAATCATAGCTGTCCAGGAAGTCATCCATTTCCTTTAAATTTTTGAATTTTGTGGAGTACAGGTTTTCAAAGTATGACCTAATGATTCTCTGGATTTCCTCAGAGTCTGTTGTTATGTCTCCCTTTTCCTTTCTGATTTTGTTAATTTGCGTGTTCACACTCTGCTGTTTGGTAAGTTTGGACAAAGGTTTTTCTATCTTGTTGATTTTCTCAAAGAACCAACTCTTCGTTGCATTGATTCTTTGTATTGTCTTCCTGGTTTCTACTTTATTGATTTCAGCCCTCAATTTGATTATTTCCTGGCGTCTACTCCTCCTGGGGGAGTTTGCTTCTTTGTGTTCTAGAGCTTTTAGCTGTGATGTTAATTCTCTGGTATAACTGTTCTCCTGTTTCTTCATGTGAGCACTTAGTGCTATGAACTTCCCCCGTAGCACTGCTTTCAAAGTGTCCCATAGGTTTGGGTATGTTGTGTCTTCATTCTCATTGAATTCGAGGAAGTCTTTAATTTCTTTTTGTATTTCCTCTTTGACCCAGGGATGGTGCAGTTGAGCATTATTCAATTTCCATGAGTTTGTAGGTTTTCTGCAATTTGTGTTGTTGTTGAATTCTAATTTTAAGGCATGGTGGTCTGATAAGAGGCATGGAGTTATTCCAATTTTTTTGTAGCTGCTGAGGTTTGATATGTTGCCAAGTATATGGTTGATTTTTGAGAAGGTTCCATGTGGTGGTGACAAGAAGGTATATTCTTTTTTATGTGGATGAAATGTTCTATAGATATCTGTTAATCCCAGTTGGGTCATTACTTCTATTAGACCCTTTGCTTCTTTGTTGAGTTTCTGTCTGGTATTCCTGTCTAGTGGTGAGAGTGGTGTGTTGAAATCTCCCACTATAACTGTGTGGGGCTTTAGATGAGATTTAAGTTCTAATAATGTTTCTTTAACAAATGTGGATGCCTTTGTATTGGGGGCATAGATGTTCAGGATAGACACTTCATCTTGGTGGGTTTCACCTGTGATGAGTATGTAATGACCTCCTTCATCTCTTTTGATTGATTTTATTTTAAAGTCTAGTTTGCTAGATATTAGGATTGCTACCCCTGCTTGTTTTTTGGGTCCATTTGATTGAAAAAAATTTTCCCAACCTTTAACTCTCAGGTAATGTCTGTCTTTGAGGGTGAGGTGTGTTTCTTGTATGCAGCAGAAGGAAGGGTTCTGTCTTCGAATCCATTCTGCTAGTCTGTGTCTTTTTATGGGTGTGTTAAGGCCGTTAATATTGAGGGATATTAATGACCATTGATTGCTCATCCTTCTTCGATTTGCGATGGTTGTTGTTGGTGGAATTATGTGTGGAATTTTACCCCTTTGTTCTTTTGGCTGTTGGTAGAGAGGGATTCTCTAATGCTTATGTTTTTTGGTTGTAGTTAGCGTCCTTGGGTTGGAGTTTTCCTTCCAAAATTTTCTGTAGGGCTGGGTTAGTGGACACATATTGCTTGAATCTAGTTTTGTCATGGAATATCTTGTTTTCTCCGTCTATAGTGATTGAGAGCTTTGCCGGGTATAGTAGTCTGGGCTGGCATCCATGGTCTCTTAGTGTAGGTAGAATATCTGTCCAGGACCTTCTGGCTTTCAGAGTTTCCATGGAGAAATCAGGTGTAATTCTGATAGGTCTGCCTATATATGTTACTTGACCTTTTTCCTTAGCTACTCTTAATATTCTTTCTTTATTCTGTATGTTTGGGGTCTTGATTATTATGTGGCGAGGGCATTTTTTTTGTGGTCCACTCTATTTGGTGTTCTGTAGGCTTCTTGTACCTTCATTGGCATGTCTTTCTTAAGGTTGGGAAAGTTTTCTTCTAAGATTTTGTTGAATATTCCTTCTGCCCCTTGGAGGTGGATTTCTTCTCCTTCTTCTATACCTATTATTCTTAGGTTTGGTCTTTTCATGGTGTCCCATATTTCCTGGATGTTTTGTGTTAAGGATTTGTTGGATTTAAGGTTTTCTTTGGTTGATAAATCCATTTCTCCCAGTGTATCTTCAACACTTGAGATTCTCTCTTTCATCTCTTCTATTCTGTTGGTAATGCTTGTATTGGTAGTGCCTGACTGTTTGTCCAGTTTTTCTATTTTCTGCCTTTCTTCAGATTGTGTTTTTTTAATGTCTCTATTTCAGTTTTCAACCCTTGCAGTGTTTGCATTGCTTCTTGCAATTTTCTGTTTATCTGTTCGTCCGTTTGTTGCCTATTATTAATTTTTTGGTTTGTTCTTTCTTCCATTCCTTGCATTTTTTGGTTTGCTTTTTGTTCCATTTCTTGCATTTTGTGCTTTGTTTCTTCTTCCATTTCCTGCCTTTTTTGGTTTGTTTCTTCTTCCATTTTTTTCATTTTTTGCTTTGTTTTTTCTACCATTTCTTGCATTTTTTGCTTTGTTTCTTCTTCCATTTCCTGCCTTTTTTGGTATGTTTCTTCTTCCAATTCTTGCATTTTTTGCTTTGTTTTTTCTTCCATTTCTTGCATTTTTTGCTTCATTTCTTCTTCCATTTCGTGCCTTTTTTGGTTTGTTTTTTCTTCCAATTCTTGCATTTTTTGGTTTGTTTTTTCTTCCATTTCTTGCATTTTTTGGTTTATTTTTTCTTCCATTTCTTTGAGGGATTTTCCAATATCCTCTTTTAGGGCCTCTATCATTTTCATGAAAGTGCTTTTAAGGTCATTCTCTTCTGCTTCATTTGCATTGGAATGTTGGGGTCTTGCTGGTGTGGAGTCTCTAGAATCTGGCGGTGTCATATTTGTTTTTCTGTTGCTGACTGTGTTTTTGTATTGTCTCTTTCCCATCTCTTCTTCTAGTGGGTGCAGAAAGAGCCCCTTACTGGTCTGGGGAACAGAGTTCCCTTTTGGTGGGTGCTAGTAAGTCCAATAATCTGGTGGTTTTTCTATTCCTTGTCCAAATCCTGGTCCCGTGGGTGGAGAATAAGAACAGGAATCTGGGGTGCTTAGCCTCCTACCTGGTCCCCTGGACCCTATGCTGGGTCCTGTTGTACCTGATCCGGAACAGCTACTCCCCTGGTCTCCCTGGCTCCTTTGGTTTCCTGGTCTCGTTGGTGGGAGAGAAGATCTGGAGTCTGGGGTGCTTGGCTCCCACCGGGATTGGGAGCTCTGTGCAGTTCCAAGGCGATCTGCAGGCACTGGAACACAGTCCAGGAAGTCGGCCTGTTTACCTGATGCTGCTGGAGGGATAGCTACTTCCCTGGATTCCCAGGCTCCTCTTGTTTCCTGGTCTCGATGGTGGGAGAGAAGATCTGGAGTCTGGAGTGCTTGGCTCCCGCCGGGATTGGGAGCTCTGTGCAGTTCCCAGGCAATCTGCAGGCACTGGAACACAGGCCGGGAAGCCGGCCTGTTTGCCTGATGCTGCCGGAGGGATAGCTCTTGGCAAAATTCTATACAATATCATAGACCCAAGTTATCCGTTAAAGTAAATAATGTGGTTATTAACAGCATTTTGGACACCGGAAGTGACGTCACCATAATTAATATAGTAAGGCAGTACAGAAAACAGATGCCAAATGTACAGGCTGTACAGAAGCAGGATGCTAGTGCCAAACCTATAGAGCAACCAAAAGCTCTACCCTTAAAATGGCTGACAGATGGGCCTGTCTGGGTGGGTCAATGGCCTATGACATCTGAGAAGTTAGAGTCTTTGGAGAAGTTAGTTCAGGAACAGCTAGATGCTGGGCATCTTGAGGAATCAACTAGTGCATGGAATTCTCCAGTTTTTGTTGTCAAGAAGAAGTCTGGTAAGTGGAGAATAGTTCCAGACATCTCACTTCTCTGGCAGGCTACATCGTGACTCCTGTGTTTCTCCTTCCCAGCATACTCCTCGACCCCTATCTTGCTTCCCTTTTGGCCAGCAGTGCTTTATTGACATATACACAGAACTTCCCCATCAAAGAACTATTCTTTGCTGGCATGATGACATAGCCCCACATCACCCTGTGTTTTCTATTTGTCCTCCAGGGATGCCAGACAGCATGAACTTCAGCGATGTCAAGGAAGTCCATCGAGGAGACCGTGGAAATACTCTGGATACAACTGGAGCAGGATGTGCACCAGGAACTCAGTCTATGAAGCTTACTGTCATGGGAATGCTGATGCTTCTTGGGTTTTGGTAATGGCACTCTTCTCTCTGGACATACCTTACTGGAGTCCTGATTTATCATCCCTTATCTCCTTATGCCTGCAATAGAAGAGCTATTTTAAAGTAATGACTGAATTTAGGGAGAAGTGTGTCATGCTAACTTCTTAGAATTCAACTGGAATGTCCACAGAGTACCTAGAATTCAAGATTCTGGTGGACTGTTTCAAACTTCCCAAAGTCTAACTTAAACCTTCTTAAAATCTAACCTTAACCTAAAACTGTGAAAAACTCAGAAATGACTTTGAATAAGAAGGATTTGGGTATATCTGTAATTCTATTCTTCTCAGTTTCAAACCCCTTCCTTTTAAAATTGAGAGTGCTGTCATGTGAGAGTCTGTTTGCCAGGCTCCGGGAAGCAAGTAATAGTTCTTAAAGCCCCGGAATAGAAATAGAATTAAAGTCAAAGCACACAATGGCAAGTATTATGCATGTGTCTTAAAGTGAGTCTTCCATTTTTGCAAGTTAGAGAAAAAAATTTAAAAGTCTGTGAGTTATAGAGTAGATTAGCAGGGTGATTTCACAAAAGTTTACTGAAAGAGCTTGACTATGTATGTTTTTGCCACTATAGCTTCTCCCTCCACTGAGCTGAGTAATTTAGGGAAGCCCATGTGACGACCCTTTTACAATTCATTGTAGTATCACAACTCTCTCCTCCTTCCTCTTTACCTAAAAAAAATCTAGTTATGTCTGAAAGCACACTTGTATAATCTAATAAAGCTGTTGACGATTTGATGAGAAATTTTAAAGAATATTATAGTCATCTTATCCCCATTTTGAAAATGTTAATGGTTACATTTTTTGAGCATCATATGGAGCAAACCGTTGGCTATCCTTGCCTAAGGTCTGATGAATATCTTGCAACAGGTAATAAGACAGAGCATGAGGCATACAGGGCTTTAGCTCTCTTCCTCAGCAGGGAAGTTGCTAATCCACCATCCCAAATTTCTCAGCTGTGATGAGTTGCCTCCTCCACAGACAGATAGGGGACTTCTAAAACTGCACTGAAGCAAAGAGAGAACAGTCAATTTTTACTAAGAACTATCACACCTGGCTGTGGCCAGGAACCATAACGGATACTGAGCAAAAGAAAAGGGAAAGGAAATGCTGAACTTCTTAAGCAAATAATTCAAAAGGATTTAAAATGATCTCTGACAAGGGTGGTTGTAAAGGACTCATTTCAACAGCCCACATGACAGAGGCAGAATTAATTTCCCTAAGTCAGTAAACAATATATGATCAAACACTGTCTTTCTAGGTTCTCAATAGGTGACTGGATGTTTTGAAAGTTTAAAACTCCACAACAACTGGAGAGTTGTCAGTTTAAATTACAATACTTTGAACTGCTCGAACAGATTTTATTGTCTACTCAGGCACATTTTAAAACTGGAACCAGCATTTCGCCTGCTGGTTCTCTGTGTTATTTTCTTAGGCTGCTGTTCCAAGCAGAGATGGCTAACCCTTGACCCTTTACCTGCACTCAACCCCTCATGCTCCACAAATTACAAACTTAAACTTCTTTGTTCCACAAGTTTCTCTCTTATCTCAGCCCTTTATTGACATCACTATCTCAGAAAGAAAATGAACATTAAATCACTTATGCAATCTTTCTGCTGCCAAGGTTAGTTTTCTCTAGAAAAATGTCTGGGTTCCCAAATTTAGGGGAAACTCATTTTCAATACCCAGTCTGAAGAGCACAGTACAGGGTTCTAAGGTGTATATTTACAAAATTAGTTGGTTCAAGATAATTCAGGGCATTACTGGAAATGAATAAGAGCAGAGAAATAATAGAATCAATGGGTACATTTTGTAGACTACATTTTATGTTCTCAAGTATATGATGTCTATTTCCAGCTATGCACTTTGGAGACAATACATGTCAGAACAAGCTGTGAGCGCTCAGAGCCCTAGGAGGTTTTCAGAATTTCCTTAAGAGCCCGAGGCATCATTTCTAGCATTCTTGGTGAGAGTATTCATCCTTTTGTATCCCACTTGGTGATATTTGATATTTATATAGCATTTAATGCTGTAAAAATTTCTTTCAAATGAAACAAAACATCTCTAATGAACTCCCTCACTCTCAAGGGTGACTCTTAGTCAAACCGAAACAATGGCAGCAAATTTTCCATAATGTGACTCTAAATCTGTTTCTGATTGATTTCCATAAATGATATCTAAGAGGGATTAAGCAGGGTAAAATGGTGTAAGTATACACCTCATTTCCGCAAGGACCTAAAATACTGAAATATCACATTTTAGTCATATTTTATATTGTATAATTTTGATGAACTCATTTCTGAGCCCTGAGTGGTTTGTATACACATTGAAGTACTCACAAAATTGACTGCAGGGCTGGGGAATGCAATTCAGTTGTGTATTGCATACTGCATGTGAGTGAGCTTCTGAATTCAATCCCCAATGCCAGAAACTCCAAAGAAACTATGAACAACAATAACAACAAATATATATATATATATATATATGTATATATACATATACATATATATATATATATATTTGCAAAGAAGGAAACTAAAAAGAAAGAAAAGTCAGCAACAAAAACCCTTTGTTCTTAACTGATTGTCTTGTATCTCTGGGGGGAGAGTTGGTTAAGAATCAGAGCTAGCATTTACTTGCCCATTATTCTTCATAGACACGGTGACAAATGAGTTTATTGAATTTATGCACAATCTCTTTCGATCGTCCCAATAACATTATCACCTGTATTTTACCAATGAGAGGAATGAGGCTTGAGGGTACTATGAAATTTGTCTGATGCCATGCAACTAATCATTGTATAATTAGATTGGTGCATGTGAGGACTTTGAAAAAGATTATTTACATTCCTAGCTCAAAAGCAACAGTGTTTCAAAGCAATAGAGAAAAAAAGTAGGTGTTAACATTAAAATGATCCAGATTTATTTAACTGTCTAAACTAGTGTTTTCAAATCAAGTTGTATTGACTTCATACTTTCATCACTGACAAACTGCATGCAGATTTGCATATTAAATGTAAGCAAGGTAAGCATGGACTTTTTGCTCCGGCCATTGCTCATCTCTGACACATTCAAATCACATTCAGATATATCGGCTCCCACATAAATAAATAAATAAATTAGCCATCAACTATGAAAAAGAAGACAGCACTATTGGAACTATCATGGACCCATGAAATTATTTTTTGTTTCCCTTGCTAATGATGGGGATAAAATGTCTTGGCCTGAAAAAACAGGATAAAATTAAAGAAGGAAATTTAAAAAGGTAGAAGGGGGAGGAGAGAGGGTGGAGTGAAGGAGTGGAAAGGAATGGGAGAAAGGAGAATAAGGAAGGGAGGGAGGGGAAAGGAGAGGGGCAAGTTGATGAATGTGGAGTAATCTTGCTTTTATACAGGATTAACCTTTAAATCTACTGTTTGTTCAGGGGCATCTTGTGCATATGGGGATGCTGACCATATTTTCTCCTCACTAAATGGCAGAAGTTAATGAGATATTTTCCCCAAACACTCGTATCTACTGAAGTGTTTGCTAAGGACACTTTGGAAAGGACTCAATTAGGTTATTGTTTTCCGACACATAACTTTCTGCTTTATCTCCAGAGCCCTTCAAGTACAAAAAAATTGTTTTTTTCTTAGTACATGAATTTATCCTGGACTTTTGTTATTATGTAAGAAATTCACTGTGTGAAGGGAAGTCAGTATTTTCTCAGATTACCAATTGTGCATTCAAACAAATTTACATGGGTTATACGAAACTATAGTAATATTGTCATGTATATCTTTGGGCATATCAGCATTTTCTTTAAATGCATATTATTGTATGTAATTCATTTCTAATTAAAATATCAATAAAGCACAATTTACTGATTGAAAGTGTTTTTGTTTTCTAAAATTTAGAAAGTAATTTTATTTTTAAAAGTTCCTTCATCTACAAAAGAATTTTAAAATGTTACATAATATGATAAATTCATTCACAGTATTTGGAATGGAGTGGGCAAATATATTTGTACATATATTTGCAAATGTGTTATTCGAGTGTCTCCTTCCTGTAAATGTTCACACCGCGATGTGTTTTGCCAAGAAGTTTAGGAGATTATAGTTTGTGCCTTTCTGGTAAGGCTTTGCTGTGACTGTGACAAAGTTCAAGAAGAAAGAGATAATGAAATTTGAAACAAAATTAATAACCAGGAAAGAGGATCTGCAAGAGTCAGAACTCCTGGAAATAGAAGGACTTGTGTGAGTCACCAGGCTGGCTCTGATAATTTGGTAAGTAAAGTTTGACTTGTTTGAATTCTCACCCCAAGCTTGAGATCAATGGGCTAAAAGCAATGAAGTGTGGTAGACAAAAAGGAAGTCTTCAGATTTTCTCGAGAGGACCCAACTAAAAACCACTGATATGAGAAAATAAAATGATTAAATAAATATAGGCCAGGTCGCAAAACAAGCACAAGAGACCTCTTTGAACAGGATAGCATTTTCTACAAAGAGCCAGCTCTTCAGTGTGGTCAAGGAGTTCCAAGAGTCACTTAGCAAAGTCAGCACAAACCCCTCCCCTTTTTTTATGTTCCCACATACCCCCTCTTACACTGACTTTCTTCCTAGTTGTTTATATTGACATTATGTTTTTCTCTTCCGTAAAAATTGAGGCAAACTACATCAAATCCATAAAACGACTTAGAAAAGAAGCAAAGGCACCATTTACTAGGAAACCACCTGCCCGCTGATGAGTAGTAATGCATATTCATTTCTTATGGTGCCTCTTGCTACAATGAATATATTCCTGGGATGGTATTATTTTCTTCTGCACTCTGCTTGTTGACAGCTTCTGAAATAGAGAGTGTGAAGGGAAGAGTATAGGAGCATTTGAACAAAATTTGGAAAGGGAGAAACAATGGACAAATGTATAGCTCTAAGGGTTTATTGAGGGAGAGTTTTCTTCTTGTAGTGCATATAACATCATACTAGCTCTGACTGTTGGATCATTCTTTTGTCTGGCCTATTCAGACAACCACATCTGTTAGGCATAGCACACCCCAGTGGGGTAGAAACTTATTATCAACAAAAAAAATGGTGTGCTCCCAACTATTTCATGCTTAAGTTATTCTCACATGGGTATTTCTAAGTAACAAATCATTCTATGGTTTTTAGTAATGACTTCCTATAGCTAAGCAAGTATTTTAAGACAGGCAGATTTTAAAACTTTTCTTTCATTTCTCTGTATCTCAGGAGGACAGACAAATCTTTGATAGGTCAGTGATTTCATTTGGATACTTGGAGTTTCCCCACACCCAGGGAATTCACCTAGTCTCCTGTTCCTCTCATTTCTCTCTTGTCTCTCTTTCATATTAAACTTAGTTCTAGCAACAAGGTTTAGCATCCTAAGGAGAATCCATATGCCAGATAACTCAGCATGGCCATCTGAGGGGCAGTCAGCTCCGGCGTTGATTTACAGCATAGAATTCTGTGACAGGAAACTGAACAAGTCTTGCAGATATTTTAGAGACAATTTTCCGTCTGACCTTGAGGAAATTCTGGGACTATCAGAAGCGCAACGGCCTTTCAAAAAGTTGTGTCCTTGAGCCAAACAATCAAAGTGATCTTTCTGCATTTCTAGATCCCAAAGCTAAACCATGAAACATTACTGACACAGTGGTAGAGAAAGTTTGTTCACTTGACAGTTTCTGTAACAGCATTATTCATTATATAAAAGGCACTAATGATTTTAGTTACAGTTCCGTGTGCATGTTTAAAATTCTCATTTCTTTATCACTCACAGGTACATGGTTTTTTTGAGTAAAAATGAAGAATAGAATGAAAAATGCCTAGTTTTTTATTTAATGGGAAGGACAATATGCCTCCATATCATTAAATAATTAGTCAATAATATTTTTGGTTGTAAATAATTTTCAAGAATGAAGATACATAGTCTTCCTAATGCATCAGTGGAATATCATGATATTCTGAGACAAACAACACTTTGACAGGCCTACTCTGAAAGACTAAACACCAAAGGGCATGATAGTTAATGACAAAGATGCACATGTTGGTTTAACTTCTCATGGATTTTTCTAAGAGATGCTTTTAAATAGGCATAAGCAAATGTTACCACATCTGGTAATTTATTGCAGAATAAGAGGGTGGGATAGAGACCCTTATTTTCTGGGTTTTTTTCACAATATGGCGTCTAATGCAGGAAATAAAGGAAGAATACTCAGGCAGCAGTGGAAACAAATATCCGTATCATTTGGAAAATGCACAGATGGAGGCCTGAGTCGCAGCTCCTATGTCTAGCTTGTACACATGGAATTTTGTGTGCCTGAGTCACAGCACACACTGCGTCTAGTTTGTGTTTATGAGGCATGTGGCTGGGTCAGATTTCACACCCAAGTATGACTTATGAGTATGGGTCATACATGATTGTTATGTTTCAGTTTCTCCATTCATAAATTATTCTCAGAGAGAATCTGAGATTAACAGATATCTGTAAACAATAGTTGTTACAGACACACATACACACAAGTTTTATTGGATTTATCCTGTGCAGGAGATAACACTCTTCCCAGAAACCATGTTTTGTCATATAAAAATCCCATGTTGGTTTTGGGATACCTTCACACAGTTGTTGACTAAGAGTATTAGGGGACTAATTTGATGGTTTATATGGAAGACATAGAGAGAAAAGAATATAATGATTACATGTTAACATAACTACTCAAACATGTAATGACTCTGTATTTGTTGTTTAATCCATACATGTAATTTTGTAGTATATCTTGAATCTTTTCTAGATCAATAAATACAATTTCAAGAATAATTGTAATTGATGTATAAAACTCTTCCAATGAATGTCACATAGTTTATTGAGTCAATATCCTTTTGAGAAGCATTAAATATTTAATAATGTGTCATAAACAATGTGGCCATGAAAATCTTTATAAACTAGGTTTTGCTCATCAAGATTATGTGGCCGAATTAGTTCTTCCTTAGGGGTGATATGAAAAGAGGTTATCTTATTCCACCTGGAATGACCATAGCAACCAATGAAAAAGAAGTCAAGCGAGCGACACTAAGGATGGTGGAAAGTGAACTGGTTGTTGTTGTTTTGTTTTGTGTCTTTTCACAATTAGTGAGCCCACTGTAGGACTCTTAGTCCCAAGCATTTGAGTGGTTGGTCCCCAGTTGGCATTGTTTGGAGAGATTGAGGACGTGTGTCTGTTTTGGAGGGAGCATGTCACTGGAGGCATGCATTGAGAATTTAGAGACTGTGTGTTCCCTCCCACTTCCTGTTCTCTTCCTTGGCTTCCTGACCCTGCTACCATGCCCTGTTGCCTGGAGCCCATTGTCAGGCTTCCCTACAATTACAGACTGGAAACTTCTGGAACCTTAATCTCAGATAAACTTTTCTTCCACAAATGGCATCCATCACTGTGTCCCTGCAACAGAGAAGTCATGAATATACTTCTTTCTGCTTCTTGTTGGAAGGAGACATTCCTGTAGCACAAATTTATGTTGCTACGATTCCGTATTTATCTTTCTCCCCTAAATGTATCAAAGGTTGCACAAGCTATTTGAATTCTTTGTGGCAATGACCTTTAAATTAGCAAAAGTCCAAATAAAAACTTTGAAACTAACTTAGTTATTACAACAAAAGAAAAATCCTGCAGATACCCTAAACTTGAATAAAAACAGGGGGGAAAAAGCAAAAGTGAGTCTGTAACTACAGGCAAAAGCAGCAACAAAGTTTGACATGGAAGTTTTGTCTTAAAGCCTAGTTACCAGCCAGGAATAGCACTTCATTATCTTCCCAGATAAACCTGTGAGTTATCAACAAACAACTCCAGAGGGGAACAGGCATTGTCTCTATTGATCATCTCCCTATTCGAAAGCTGTCTGTTGCACAGTTTTCATGAGCAGCCTGTGTAGCTGCAGTGCTCGCCTCTGCCATCAGGAAGGAGTACATACAGCTCTGCTCTAGTATAAATCGTCTGGTGTTTCTTGCTTCATATGTCACAAAAATGTTCTTCCCTTTGTTTGCTTAGTATCTAGCAGCTCAACAAACCCTTTTATTTCAGAGGTAGAGCAGGTTTTAAGTTTGTGTTTAGCAACGGTTGGATTCCAAGAATATCATTTTAATCATGTCGTTGCACCATATTTGTTCCAATTGATCATTTTTTAATAAATTTTCAAATCCAAAGTATCCTTAAAACATTATAAGGTTAATTCCCACCAATGTTAAAGTAAGTGGGAATGAAAATGAAATAAATCTTCATATATAGACACTATTTGCAAAAAATATTTGTATCTTAAATTTCCCTTTCAGGGGCTGTGAAAATTAGCCTGGCTTTAATTATCTTTAAAGAAGATTTCCTTGGCTCACAATTCCAGGTTAGAGCCCATCATTGTAGAGAGGTCAAGGCCCCACAAACCTGAAGCAACTAGTCACATGGATAATCAGGAACAGACAGCAGTAAGTCAGTCAATGCATCCATGCAGGAAGCTTCTTTTTCTTCTCCCTTTTGTGCACCCCAGATAGCCTGCACAGAGAGTTTTGGCACACATGGTTAGGATGGATCATCCCACAGACATTAACTCAACCAAAACAAGCCATCATCAGGAGTCTCAAAGGCTCACCTTAATCTCGAGAATCCATTACATGGATGCATGGATGATACCTCCTAGATATCAAGTTGATAGCTAAGATTAGCCATTCCAATTTAAAAGTGGAGAGCTTCAAATACAGATTACCATACTGTTAATTTTACACTCCAATACCTTTATTGTCTGGGTCTATAGATTTGCAACTCTTTTTTTTATGATTTTTTTATTCTTTTTTTTAAATTTAGATAAGAAACAAGGTTG